TCAAAGCTGTCGGTTTGGTGTTCTACTCGTTGATAACATTTCCGGATCTCATTCTGACTCCTGTACATATCGACTTGCTCCCGCTCACGTTTCTCTTGTTCTTTCTTGTTTTGAAAATATGTTTCTCCTCCATCCTCACTCCTTTTCTCCCTACAATTCTCTCTGGCATAGCGTTTTGCTACTGTTTGCAGGGTTGCGCCATACGCTGCATATTCCACTTCAGTACCATTACAACACTCCTGACCGTACCATGGGTTTCTTTGTGGTGGTCTTTTTTTGTTGCTGTTGCTGCAGTTTGTAGGGCGTGGGCAATTCTTTGCCATTTTGATTCTATATTATAGGGAAAAAGTGCTTTCGACTAACAAGTGGGTATGTTGAGCGGAGTACGCTTCTGCTACCTGTTTTGTTTGCAGCTTTTCGACGTCGAGTTTCCGTATTTTATTAGCTGCCACATTAAGACGAGTGCGAACCTTGACTGCTACAAGGTAATTGTCCGAATCGATATTCTCTCTACATTTCTTCTCTCACCAAATGCCTGCTTAGGATTTAATTCCATACTCTATCCCTCTTTTTTTGCCTCCTCTTCTATCTACTGTGTTGGGACCCAATAGACCAAGGATCATCGAGATAAATATTTAGCGGCTGTACATCTAATAACCTCACCTAATAGACGTTTCGAAGACCAGAGTGTCTTTTCAGAAGAAGGCCTTATTGAAAGTCTAAAGAGACAGAAAGTTTTTTAGACGAACTGAAGGCCCCAAAAAATGTATAGGACCATGAAAATATCTAAAACTGTGAAACTTTACCTTTATATTGAGGCTATATCCTATTTTGAAAACTCCGCTCTGATAGCTTGGATAATCCTTGAACATATTGTTTTCAAAGTATCTAAAATTATAGCTCGAATAGTCATTTGAAAAATGATTTTAAATAGTGTAATATCACAACTATTTTCCTACTTCACTCTACTTTACCAATATTTGCGCTCATTTTTTTCTCTCCCTCTCTCCTCCCCTCTCTCTCTCCCTCTCTGAATAAATATTCTCGGTATAGTCCTTTAAAAAACTTTTTTTTTACAAAATTCATGCTTGAAGCCGTCTTTATAAAAAAAATATGTTTTTTTTGAATTCATCCTTACCACTTGTAACATGCCGTATGCCACCATGCCCCACGATATAGGGCTGCACAATTTTCACTCGGATGCAGATCATTGTCCAGATCTTTAGTGGTAAATTTCTGACCCACATTATAACTGAAATCATCACCGGCCGTTCCACTGTACTGACCCAAACTATGAAGTTTGTAGCGTTCGCGTTCACTGCCCACCACAAAATTGCTGTATTTGGCATAACGACGTTCCATATCCCAATCTTCGAGAACAATTAGCAGTTCGCAAGGTCCACTATTAGTTAACTTGTGAATATTATCAAGACCAATGAAAAATTCTCCGGATGTGTTGCCGAAACCCTGTTTAAATTCTTGCCAAGTTCGATCAAAATTTACTGAACCATCCTGACGACGTAGTATAACTGTTTCGGGTACTTTTATCAACTTTTCAAGTTGTTGCAGTTGTTGTAGTATTTTATTCTGTTGTTCCATTTGTTGTTGTTCCTTTTTCAATTGGCGCTCTTCGAGGATTTGCAGCTTTTCATAGAATTCCATTTGACTAGCCATTAAACGTTTGAAATTTCCATTCAACTCATCAAGGCTATGAGTGAGGTTTGTACAAACTTCAGGGCTTCGATGCTTGCGAATGTAAGTTGTTGGTAAGCTTATAACCTGTTGATGATATGGTTTATGTGTGTTTCTTCTTGTCATAATTAGAAATATTCACCTCTTCCACGGAAATCGTTTTGAAAATATTAAAAAATATCAACATAATTGAAAGCCATTGGGAATTAAATTTTAAATAAAACATTTCTTATCTTTGAACACAACCTTCAGAGTGCGTTAATGTTCTGACATCACGAAACAGTTTGTTTTGAATTTTTATATAAAAGAGAAGTGATCGAGACTCATATGAAATATTTGGGAAAAAATATGTATAGACTAAAAAATAAAAAAAAATATATATAAAACAATTTGTCATAAAGCTCTGCTAGGACATTCAATAATATTCTTTCAACTTTGACAGCCCTTAAAATTCACGCTTAAAGCTTTAACAGCCCTGAAAAATAAAATTTAAAAAATCCCGGCTTAAAGCTTTGACAAGCCTTAAAAATAATGTTTAAAAACTTCTCTCATTAAAGCTTTAACAGTACCTTAAACATTTTCTTTAAAAATCCAGAATAAAAGATTTGGCTGACTTAAGAAAATAATATTAAAAAAATTCACGCTTAAAGCTTTGACAGTATTAAAAAATCTTAAAAAATCCACGCTAAAGCATTGGCAGTATTAAAAAAAATCATTCTTAAAAAATCCACTATCAAAGCTTTGATTTACAAAACAAATGTTTTAAAAAATAATGTCTATATAATATCCTCGCTTAAAGCTTTAACAGTACTTTAAAAATGAATGAAATCCAGAAAAAAAGCTTTGGCCGACTTAAAAAGATAATATTTAAGAAATCCACGTTTAAAGCTTTGACAGTATTAAAAAAATAATTCTTAAAACAACACGTTTTAGCTTTGACAGTATTTAACAAAATAATTCTTAAAAAAATATATGTTTAAAGCATTGACTGTATTTTAAAAAATAATTCTTAAGGAATCCACGCTTAAAGCTTTGACATTATTTAAAAAAATATTTTTTTAAAAAATCCACACTTAAAGCTTTGATCATACTTAAAAAATACATTTTTAAAAAATCCACACTTAAAGCTTTGACAGTACTTAAACTAGGGTCTACATCCTCCAGGAGTAAATATATATGCCATAGAATACAAATTTTGTCATTTTTCACACAAAAGTCAGGGTCAATTTGACCCGCTAAATATTGACCGATCTTTATCAAAACATGCATGCTTATTCTCTGGCCCGATCCCCTTCTTCATGCAAAAATTCGCGGTGTTTGGGCCATAATTGCGGCCTATGGAGCGACCAGAAAAACCGACAAAAATAATGTTTTTGGTCCATTTCATCCCCTAAATATTAACTGATCTTTTCCAAAAACAATAGGGGTCTTCATTGGCCAGAACCCATCCTACATGCAAAATTTCGTGAAGATTGGTCCATAACTGTGGCCTGTATCGTGTTTACAAATTATAATGGACAGACGGACGGACGGACGGACACACATGTCTAGATCGACTCAGCTAGTCGAGATATGACGATCGGTATACTTAAAGGTGTGTCTAGGACCAATATTTCGCGGCGTTACAAACATTTGGGGCTGCACAAAGCTATAATACCCTGACAACATAATTGTGTAGGGTATAAAAATACGTTTTAAAAAATACACGCTTAAAGTTTGACAGTATTTAAAAAAATAATTTAAAAACCCGCTCTTAAAACTTTGACATTATTAATTTTTTTTAAATCCGCTCTTAAAGCTTTGATAGTACTTAAAAATTAAAAATCCACGCCAAAAGCTCTGCAAGGACACAAAAAATTAATAATTGATTAAACCACGCCAAAAACTGTGCTAGAACAAGAAAAATGAGTTTTTAAAAATTAACATTTAAAGTTCTGCTGGTGTATAAAAGAACAATCTTTTAAAAATCCACGCTTAAAGCTCTGGTGGATATGAAAAGATAATTTTTAAGTAACCCACGTTTAAAGCTCATTTTGGTTATGACAAAATAATCTTTAAAATCGACGCTTAAAGCTCTGTGGGGTATACAAAAATTATCTTTAAATAGTCCACACTAAAAGCTCTGTTGGGGTATGAACAAATAAGCTTAACAAATTTACTAAAAAAAGCTCTATTGAGGAAGAAGCAATAATCTTTAAAAATATACGCTTTAAGCTTTGCTAAGGTATGAAAATGATCTTAAAGCTCTGCTGGGGTGTGAAAGAATAATCATTAAAAATTCACGTTTTATGCTCTGTTGCTCTGTATGAAACCATTTTCCTTAAAAATGCAAGCTTAAAACTCTGCTTGGGTATGAAAGGATAATTTTGAAGAAACACGCACTTAAATTTCAGCTTGGTAATCACAAAATAATGCTAAAAAATCCCCACTTAAAGCTCCGTGGGGTATAAAAAAATAATATTTAAATAGTCCACACTTAAAGCTCCGTTGGGCTATGAACACATAATCTTTAAAAATCCCCACTTAAAGCTCCGTGGGGTATAAAAAAATAATATTAAAATAGTCCACACTTAAAGCTCCGTTGGGCTATGAACACATAAACTTTAAAAATCTACGCCCAAAGCTCTGTTTGGGTATGATTTTTTAAATGCACACTTAAAGCTCTGTTGGGTTTTGAAAAAATAATCTTTAAAAATCCACACTTAAAGTTCAGTTGAGGTAAAAAAACAATGATTTTTTAAAATTTACGCTTAAAGCCCTACTGGGGTATGAAGAATAATTTTTAAAAATCATATGAAAATTAATCTTTAAAAAATCCAAGCTTCAAGATTTTAAACTAAAACTTTGACAGCTTGGAAAAATAAACTTTAAAACTCTACGTTTAAAGCTCTGATGGGGTAATCCATGCTAAAAGCTATGAAAAAATAATGTTTAAAACGCCCAAAAGCTCTGTTCTAATATGGTTTATTTTAACAAGCTTAAAGCTCTGCTGGATTTGGAAGAAATATATACTTTTTTAAATCAACTCCTAAAACTCTTCAAGGTTATTGAAAAAATATGTTTAACAAAAATCAACACCTTGTGCTAAAGCCAATGCTCATAGTTCGAATCATACATGTTGTTGGTGGGTAACCCAACTTGTTCATACCACCCTCCAATGTAGGCGATTTTTGTTTTGGTTTATTAATTGTATTTTTTTCGCAAATACTGATAACAATATATATATTTTTTGTATAAAAGTGAATAAAAGTAAAAAGTGATTTATTCAGAATTATTTTAAATCTTGAATTGAGAACTCAAAAAAAAAAATGAAAAGAATAATTTTAATGCTGTTGATGATTGTGAGTCCCCAAATATTTGCAAGGGTAAATTAAATTTTCAAAATAAAATATTCAATTTCAAAATAATTCACCATCATTTTACTTCAGACTTCAACCGCCACGGAAATTAACAGCAACTCCATACGCGAATTAAGTGATCGAATTAATCTATTGGAAAATCAAATCGAACAGTTGGACAAGACAATACAGCGAAGATTTCAAAAGCTAGAGGAAAAGCTCTCCGATCATGGCAATGTGGTTATACAGCGACGCATGGATGGTTCAGTGAATTTCTTTCGTCCGTGGGCGGATTATAAACAGGGGTTTGGCAACAATTCTGGAGAGTTTTTCATTGGTTTGGAAAAACTACACCGTCTAACGAATTCCCGACCGTATGATCTCTTAATTGTGTTGGAAGATTGGGAGGGAGATCGACGCTATGCTAAATACGACACTTTCATTGTGGGTAGTGAAGCAGAGAAGTACTCACTTAAAAGCCTGGGGGCATATAGTGGTTCTGCCGGGGATGCTATGTCAGCCCATTTGGGTCAAAAGTTTTCTACCTATGACCAGGACAACGATGCCTATAAAAAGGGATGTGCCAATGAATTTACCGGTGCTTGGTGGTATAACAAATGTCACCAGAGGTAGGTGGAAGGAAGACAACGTAATATTATATGAAAATAATGTTTATCGTGTTTTTCATTGTAGTAACTTAAACGGCCGCTATTTAAAAGGGACTACCAAGGAATATGCCCAGGGTGTTAACTGGTATCAATTTAAAGGTCACCATTATTCTCTAAAATTTGTGGAAATGACAATAAGACCTCGTTAAATAAAAATAAGATGTTAAAAGCTATAAACGTGAATTTTTTAAAGAATAATTTTTAATGACTTTCTCCACTACAAGGACTATTGTGGGCGTAGATTTTTTTAAAGAATATCTTCAATATAAAATCTACTACAAGCGATGATTCCTTTAAGGCATATTTTTCAAGGACTGTCATCAACATATGAGGACCTCAGAGTGATACGGCAAAAATGTGCCCTATCGAAGTATTGGCTTTAGATCCCGTGTTTCTGTGGGCCAAATCCGTTTCAAGCAATTTGGATACGATTTACAAATGTACGTCCCTCTGTCTGGTAGGATCCGATCCAAACTTTAGACATAGCAATATTTCTTCCAAACTTTGTTCAAGTTCGAAGATTGGGGATTAACGGTCCAACATCTCTGGTACCTCCACCACAAAATTGTCAAGATTTTTGCGGAAAAATTACTTTATAATATAATGGAGCGGACTATCCGATTTAAACTTTGTGCAGCCTATTATTTGTACCAAACAAGTCCGAAGTAAAGATATGTTTCTGGATGGATGTCGATACTTGAGGGGGAAAGGGTGAGGTGCTATTTAGCAGCAGCTGTCTTACAATGATGCAGATTAATCTGTACCATGTTCTGCGTCAGCTTTTAATTAATGCCCGTTTTACCGGCGGGAGGCGAAAACAATTCACCCTTATTCCTCCTGAGGTAATGTTCTCCAGCAGAGTCGGTCGCGAACCTAGCAAGACTTCCACTTCCTCAGCTGAAGAGCGTCGTTCTGTTTTTCAAAAAACCACAGTGTTTTGTCCAGTTCCATAAGTGGTGGTGGGATCCACAATGAGGTTACCATCCCGAACGGTATCTCGTGCACCGCAACGGCTGCCAGCTTCCTTCCCGATGGGGGTCACTGTTATTAACTGTTTTCTTAAGGAAGTCCCAGGATTCCTTAATACGACAATTAAGTGATAAGGCCAAATCCAAGCTCGTCGATCAACTTCGTCGTTCAAGAAGAGGTCTTTCAATTCTGTTGATCAGCAGCCATTTATCTTCGCTGATAACCCCGTTGGGGTCAGCTCAATCCATGATTGCTACTCGCAGATCTTCCGGTTCCCTGGTTGAACAACTGGGTCTTTATCCTCCATAGATGTTACCGACGCGTACGAAGCAGTTGTGCATACAACGACTGCGTGGGTTTATACGTCATCCGAGGACCGGAGCTACATCTGTCGCAGAGGTTCTCCACCTTTGGTTTATCCACCAACAACTGCCGAATTGCCACAAACTTGGATTTTGGTTTTGGCAATTCAGCAGTGTGGCGGATTGACGGAGTTGGTTAATTCCTCTGAGGGAGGTTGTGCTTTATCAGCATTACCCTGCCCTCAGTAGCAGTGTCGGATTGTGTCGGGGACTTCTCCTCGTAATGCTCGGACATCTCACAGTCTTCTTCCCCTTTAGAGGGGTTACCGTGGTAGACTTCGCCTGTGACCTTGGAATTCTATCTATTAAGAAATCATTCGCAATGCCATTCCTCTTAATGAGAAGGAATTCCTTGTCCGTGATAGAGTCCGTCTCGTCCGATAAACCGGTTGAAGAAATGAACTGCTCTTCTTGTCAGAATTCTCGTTGGCATTGACGCGTTTAGTGGTTCATGGTTCAGGTGATTTACGATGGGAAGGTCGTCTGCACCAATATCCAATATTCTTCCTCGCCAGAGGTTACAGTCCTACTAATCATCTGAGAGACTCACCTTGATTTGGAGGAGTCACTAGGTTTAGGGGTGAGTCATTCCAGAGTAGAGCCGGGATGCTTTCCTGACTAAGGTGGAAGGAGATCAAAGAGAAGGTCAGTATGTTTATCCAGGCTTGCATTGACATTATCGAGAGTAATGGAGTATGATGAGGAAAAAGAAAGGTTCGGTGCGATAACATTGGTGGTCGTCGTTTGTAGGGGTTGATTGGATTCTGACATTGTAGAGTTCAAGACTGATTGTGTCATGGCAGCCACATCAACATCAGTCGAAAAATCTCATATTGTTACAATTTTATCTTTTATCGGTGGTTGTTTTTGGACTTGACGTTGAACATGTTATAGCCCCTTGCCATGGTAAGGACTCGGCAACTAAGCCTGAAAAACTTGTTCAGGCGCCCAGGTATCAACAAGGACCCTTCCTGCAAACCGTAAAACACTAATGGGCACGGGGTCGTCTAACACCCCCACATGCACATGGTAATATATACCATGTGCATAACCCTTCTGGTACCATTTCCATGTCTGATTTGATACCGATTGAATCCAGAATGTGAATCGTATATTCGTAAGAAGAGGTCTATAGGACAACGTCTTCTGGTAACTCTCTAAAGATGGTCCACTCTTTAACGAACACATATACCTTATATAAAACGAATAATAAAACCTGGGGTTTATTCCGTAAACCTCCGCTAACTATAGGCCGATGTTATATATCTGTCTGCAACACTGACATTTTCTTTCTTGTTATACCCTACACAACTATGTTGTCAGGGTATTATAGCTTTGTGCAGCCCCAAGAGTTTGTAACGCCGCGAAATATTGGTCCTAGACCCACCTTTAAGTATACCGATAGTCATATCTCGAATAGCTGTGTCGATCTAGACATGTGTCCGTCTGTCCGTCTGTCCATTATAATTTGTAAACACAATACAGACCAATGAAGACCACTATTGTTTTGGTAAGATCGGTTAATATTTAGGGGATGAAATGGACCAAATACTTAATTTTTATCGGTTTTTCTATTCGCTCCAGAGGTCGCAATTATGGTCCGAATATCGCGAAATTTTACATGGAGAAGGTGATTGGGCCAAAGAAGAAGCATGTCTGCTTTGATAAAGGTCGGTCATTATTTAGAGGGTCAAATGGACTCTGACTTTTGTGTAAAAAATTACAAAATTTGAATTCTGTGGCTTATACATTTACTCCTGAAGGATATAGATCCGATAAGTTGATAGTATATCCAAGAGGAGTGGTTGGCCTTTAAATTGATACCAATTGTATAGTCGTATGTACTCGGATGTGGGAGTTGCACTTAAATATTTACAGGTGCTTACGTGTTCAGATATTATTTAGTAGCCCATTACCACATTAGAGGGCGGAAATATAGCCCTGATCGCTTTGAAATTTTCAATGAAGTTCCAATTATGGTCAAGGACAACGCCTATAATTTTCGATGATGATCAGAATAAAATTTTGGGTTGAAGTGGACCGAAAACCTATTTTTTTCTGTTTTATAGTCGAATATAGGCCGAACATCACAACACAACCCACCGAGAAGGGAACCTTGACAAGTAACTAAAAAGACTGTACTGAATAAAATGTGCTGTTGACCTCTAATCGAGCAAGTCGCTGCAAACATTACGAAATATTGTTCAGGCTCGGAATAAACATCCGCAGAAAGTTAGAGTTCCTTGGTAGTTGTGTAGGGTATCGTATGGTCGGCCCCGTCCGACTATACTGCTCCGCTCACTAGTTAAAAATAATTTTTAGAACTAACTTTTTAAGGACCCTTTTTAAGGATACTTTTCTAAGGAAAACCGAGGCATAAGTGAGGATTCTTTAAAAAATATTTTCTGGAGTTAAGGTTTTTCCTTATGATGAGAGTGGATTTTTAATAAATATTTTAATTTGTTTAAATTTTTCAGGAAATAATTGTTCAAAGACTATCCGATGTATGAGCGAGAATTTTTTTTATATATCGGTGCCGCTCTTTTATCCCTCGCTTCGATTCCCTAAACATCTACACAGAGGTACTCTCTTCATTCAATTTAATTTATTCAGTTTTGACACTTTATTGATTGTCGCCACACATAAAATAAGTTCAAATTAATTTTCGCTGATTTGTTGTCTGTTACGCCTTCAATTTTTGTCAACTTTTGACTGGCGTTGCAATAATTTTGCCACTTAGACAGACATTTGAAGGTGGGTGTTACACATGTCAAATAATAAAAATTATACGAGGATTAAAGCTACAAAAACATATTCGCACTCCCCAGTTTTGTTTCGTTTTATTGCTGGTAAACAGTTGTAAAAATCACAAATAGACAGATTAATGGAGGGACGGACGTTTCCAGCAGATGGAAGTTATGTAGAAGTATTTTTTTCTTCTTCTCTTATGTGTACTGGCAAATTCGATAGCTGTATATTTAATGGTTTATGTGGCAGATTATTATGGGATGGTTGGTATATATTTTTTGACAGTTTTTTTCTACAAATTATTTAAAAATACACACTACATTTAGCTCAGCTAGTGCTTTGTAAAATATTCATTAAGGAATATAAAAAAATCTTCTTGAAAAAATATAATTTAAATTTTTTTTGCGTATATCTCGAAAAGTCCATGAAAAGTATACTTTAAAAAATTCACGTTTATAGCCCTGATAGTCCCTGGAATATTATTCTATAAAACATACCCTCTTATAGCTTAGATAGTTCTTAGAAAAAGCATCTTAAAAAAATCCAAACTTATAGCTCTGATAGTTCTTGGAAAAATATTCTCAAAAAATTCTTGAACGTCCTTTGAAATTGATTCTTTAAATAATATTCGATTGTAGCTCGGTTAGTCCTAAAAATTATTTTTCAAAAAGGCTTCAAATGCCTCAAAAAAATATGTTTAGACATGTAAAAACGTCGTTAAATTCATCCGGCCTAAACTTCCTATAGCCTTAACAACTAGATGGTCTTTCAAAACTCCTTAAATCGGTCGGGACTTTTATTTGTGGAGTAAATTTTTGGCATAATGTGGGATTAGGTTGTTCATGTTTCAAATTATAGAGACTCAGGTTGGAAATGTGAGATTTCAACATACATAAACGGGACGTGGGGAGCTATTTTTATACCCTCCTCCATAGCTATCTTCTGAAGAAATTGTGATAGGGTGCTGCGTTTAGGCATAGCTCCCACATAACAGTACCCCACAATTTTTGGTATTTTGGGTTTCTTGAGCGCGTTTTTCAACCGAATATGCTGAAATTTGGTATATTGAGTTCATATTGGGT